CGGGCGCGCAGGCAGCCGCGCCCCTGCGCTGCGCGGCCCGCTCTGCCCTCCGGCAGCGCCTGGGGAGGGGGCGAACTTGTGTGTCCGCAGGGCGAGGGACCCCCGGGCTCGTGCTGCCGAGGAATGCAGGCGGGGGGCATCCTCCAGGTTTTCTCCAGGTTTTCATCCGTCTGGGAAGAAAAAAACCCACAACTGTTCAGTGAGGTTTTGTTTAGCTTCCTACAAGTTACCTGCTGCTGCTGGTTGATAATTACTTCTCTGGGAAATGTGGATTGTTTGGGTTTTTTTCGGAATCAGACATTCTGCCATCTATATAAAACACACACGCACAGACACATCTGTGTTTTCCCTGGTCTGTTTTGCAGCTAGACCTTTTTTTTTTTTTTTTTTTTTTAATGTATTCGAAAATTACAGGACACAGACCATGCTAATGTTTTACTAACACGTTTAGAATGTGAATGGTTGAACAAGAGATGCAAACAAAACTGTTTTTCTGTAGAGGCTCAAGGCTTGAGCTGGCAATTTAAAAAAAAATGGTGCCTATCTTCTGCAAAAATATATGGCGAGTTGCTGTGGTCAAGTGGTGTAATGAGGGCATAGGTGCATACAAATTATATCCTGTTTTATAAATACAAATGTGTGCAAATAACAATTATTGTATAAAAAGACAGATAACAAATAACGGACTGAATACTGAATTGGAGATATTTATGGTTAGTACTAATACCAGCCATGACCCTCAAGTTTATTTGCACCAAAATTAGGAAAAGCACAAAGTAACAGAAATCAACCTGACATTTATTGTTAAGAGAAGGTTGGATGCAGCTGTCTTGTGGAGAGGTGAGATGATGACTTACATATCACTCTGTCAAGGAAAATCAATTAGGATGCATCAGAAGAGGACCTGACATTCCTTCTCCCACCCTCCTCATAATGCCCAGAGGTACGACGGGTGCAGAATCTGAGGACTGGCTGGAAATTTCTGGTCAATTAAGTCTGGAAGCACCTATAAACTTTGGGTTTGAGATTTTTTTCCAATACTGATCGACATGATATTTGAGTATTTCTTGTGATTTTTAAAAAAATCTTTAATTAATTATTTGTAGAAGTGTTGACTTAAGAATATGGATAAGATACTTGTGTGTGCGCTGATCTTCAAGGAACATTTGTGTGATCAAACAGGCTACACAGAATATGTAACTTTTGTGGCCATCTAGCTTTTGCATTGTTCTGCATATATTTAGTAGTGATAGTTCTAAGAAAAATGAAGGGAACTTTTTCACTATTTTCAATTTTTATTACAGTCCAAGTGAACAAATGTAAAGATGTGGCCACAACCTTCCTCTTCTTAATCACTTCTGTGACACCAGCAAACCAAAAACCTACAGTTTTTTCAGGCCTCACTCTCACACACTGGCTTGAAATGGCGAGTCTGAATATACAAGGAATATAGGGGGGTTCTCTGTGTAAAGTAAAATTCAAAGGAAAAAGTGCTTGGTTTTTCCTGGGACCTAGTGTATATTTCTGATCTTATGTTGCAGAGTCTGTTGAATGGCTTGATGTGTTACAAACCTGATGACCCAGTTGAATACCTGGAAAGCTGTTTGCAAAAAGTGAAAGAGCTTGGAGGGTCAGAAAAAGTGAAATGGGATACTTTTGTCAGCCCAGAAAAGAAGACCCTGCCTCCACTCAATGGAGGACAAACAAGGAGGTCTTTTTTCAGAAATGGTAATGTATTAAGTATAAGAATGATAGTATTTCTTGTGCTCTGGGTGGTTTTACATCCACTACTGAATTATTTTACACCTGCTTCTATAGCAGATCATAATTTTTCATGGGCAGAGGACTCAGGATTCTGGTTCCTTGTATTCTGGCATTTGTTTTTCTTCTCCCATAATGGATGCTATGCAGAATTGAAAATTCTGATATTTTTTTCAGCCTAACGATGGGTACTTGCTGTGTAAATGTTTAACACATTCATGGAGAGATTTCTCATACCCTATCTAAAACATTTCCAAAGATAGGGGCAAAGTTGACTCAGTGGACTTTGTTTATATGTATAGTTAATCCTTATGGATAAATAACAAATTCAATGAAGTTACACTAGGATGTTTTTCTAGTTTATACTGGAGCTATATGCTAATTAACTGAATAGAAAGTAAATGATAAACACTTAGGAAAAGGTGCATCTCATCTAAATGTCATATCAACACCTGCAGTGATTTTATTTGTAATGTTAACAAAGAGTAATTAGCTCATTTCTTAGTTGCCATAGTTATTATTCCTTGCCATCCAGCATTTCACTAAACTAATTAACAGGAATACTATGACTGTTTCTGTGTACAGCATGTATGACCAAAAGAGTTCTGCTTGACAGTACAGGTTGTATGCACAATGTAACACTTATCGGAGGCCACTGCTGAACTCTGAGCACGATGGGCAGATTTTCATGAAAAAGCTGACATGCTGGTAAAGAAATGCCAAAGAAAACTGACTCCTAGTGGTTCTAATTTAATAAATCAGCTAGTAGAGGCAAGGAATATTTAAAATAGTAAGAGCAGGTGCACTGTAAACCTGGAGATATTTATGCTTTATGTTTATTTATTATACTTTAAATCTGTGTAAACAATGAATTTTGAATTTTCTGTGTATTTCCACAATTCCCAGTTTCTCCTACTATTTTACAGTGATGCCTGATAATTCTAACTTCCCGTACCGACGGTATGACAGACTCCCTCCAATCCAACAGTACTCCATAGAAAGTGACACCGACCTCTCTGAAACTGCTGAGCTAATTGAGGAATATGATGTATTTGATCCTGCAAGACCTCGACCAAAAATTATCCTTGTCATAGGTATGAAGGCAGAGTTATTCTGGCAAGATTTTCTTTGTTACTTTGCCTTTTTATTTGCACTGCAAATGCACTGCATGCCTATATGTATTTAAATACAATCTTTCCATCTTCTGTAGCAAGTGCATGCAGCCCAGCTAGGGAGTATCAGAAAGTTAAATTCTTAGTGATGGGAATACAGCATCCCAACTGTCAGCTTTTGGGGGGTTACAGTGAGCACCTGTGGTCATGCTCTGTAGACTGGATGCCCATTAGCAGCTGAAGAGCTTGAGGCTTGCTTATTTAATCGAAAAGAAAAGCAACTTACACTTTTCAGAACAGCTTCCCAGTGTGAACCAAAGTGCTCTTCCAGAGAGTGCTCCAGATCTGAACTAAAACACTTGTAGATGTACTCAGCTGTTCACAAAAAATGGTATTTAAAAATATTAGATAAACCAGCTCAAAAAGGTGATAGGGCACTGTTGACCAGGTGTAGTGAGAGAATATGGTCACTAGTCCATTGCATTGATGAATTAATCCCTAGATCTATTTAGCAAATGAATCCTGTGCCATCTTCAGGGAGAGTGAGCAACCAGTTAACATTAGTTAATTGTGCCCTATCCCCACGTTTTTGCATGCTATTTAGTGTCCTTTCTGAGCAACTCATTCTTTCAAGCCTCAAACAAGCATACAGTTTGTTAAAACATAGCTGCAAGTTAAGCCTAAATCAATGTTTTATTCTGTTTCTGAATTTATGTTCTTTGAGTTAGTATTGTCATCTGGGAGAGTCTTCAGAATATTTACCACTGGGCCTAATTGTCTGATTCTCTGGACTGTTTAAATAGTTACAGTGCAGGTGCCAGGTGATGGAGAATCACATTTTTAGACTATAAAGCCTTATTCATATTCAAGAGAGATAATGCTTCCATAACAGAGAATAGTATGTAGTGTTGTAAAAGGGAATATAAATTCTCTGTATTAGAGAATGGGATCTCCAAGAACAGCATGTCCTCTAGGTTCTGCATCCAACCATTCTTTGAAATGTGAGATACGAATGTATTGAAAACAGAACATGTGGTGTTTTCCTAGATATTTGTGGTATGCCAAAAGTATTGCCTAGGCATTTGAATTTTCTTAATCTTTTGTTTCAGAATTACAAATCTCAACCTGCAAATCTCTCCATGTGCCATTGAACTATAAAAAAAATGGATTAGATGGAGAAATAACACATGCCTTTCTTTCATCTTAGTTAATTAGCTATCCTTCCTTTTCATAAAGGAGAAAAAAAATGGCTTTTCAGTGACCACAGATTGAAATCCATGTAGCTCTACTGCAGTAGAGCAATGAATAAAGGTTTGATCTAGGTGAAATAAAGAGAGATTGATTTTCACCTCTGGAATTGAGTGCAGGAGTATTTGAAGTTAAATCCTTGAATGCCAACATATAGTGAACAGACTCTGGATTTTACAGAGCTTTTCTTTCCCCCCATTTATATAGAGAACATTGTAAACATTCCACAAGGCTATTTCAGGTTTATTTTCCAACTGAGTTTCTCTGAATCCATCTGTTATAGCATGATCTGATAGAAGCACAATACAATATGTAGCTTAGCTGTTAGTGTCCAAATTTATACACTATCAAGGAAATTTCTCCCAAATTCAACTATCTGTTGAGAAAGCACATAAAACCACAAGCTGGCAAGAGTAAAAGGATAACTAATATACTGAATGAGAGAAAATTTAAAATGTGTACTATTAATTTCAAGAGACAAATATTGTACACCAAAACTGTGCTGCATATTTTTCAGTTTTCATAAAATGTCAGCAGAAACTTCAGTTAAACAAGCTACTTATGTATAACTAGTGACAACTACACTCCCTAGCTGGGACGTTACTGGCTCCATTCATTGCTGGAGACTGAAATGAATAGATGTCAAAGACCTGTCTTCTGCTTCACATTTTCTTTAATACACACTTTTCTTTAGTAATCTTTTTAATGCTTCCATAAAGGTTTTTACAACTTCTTTGCTTTATGAAAGTTATCCTTATAATGAACTAGGTAGCCCCAAGGCAAAAGAGAACTCTCTTATAAAGGTGGAGGTTTTGTGCTTTTTCTGAGTTTGCAGAAAAGTCTTCTACTGAAATGTAAAGTTAAAGAGCTGCAACATGAGTATTCAGCTGGATTTTAGGAAAATCTAATGGAAGCAGCCAGGATGACATAAATCTAATTCACTGGAAAATTAAGTTTCTAAGGCATTATAACAGTAGGAAACAACATTGTGTTTAACAGTGTGCTTCCTGACATATTTTGACAAATGCATTTTAATTATTGATACAGCCTGAATACAAAAATCTTTAAAAATTAATTACCTGGTATCATTAGGCCCATAGTTCAGTATTTTTTTAAACTGCATTGAATTAAAAATATTAGTTAATATAAAAAATATTCCTATTTCCTTTTATAATAAACATTTAAAGAAAATATCAAAGATAGTACTGTTAGCTGTTGGCCTCTTGGTTAAATCCAGTACACAGCTAAATTTTAAAATATTAATTTCAGAAATCTTATTTATTTTGAATTCACAACAATATAAGCAAAACTGAAATTTTGAACTTCCTTCAACAAGACTAGATTAAAACAACTGCTTTAGTAAAACTTTTTGGGCATTCATTTTACATGCAACAAATGTTGTCTAGTCTAGACATCTTCTAAGAAATATGGAAAATAATCATGCTTTTCTTGAATAATGTGTAATTTCAGAATAAGGGAAAAGAATGAAAAACAAAAGTTATTTGATTTTTCTTTCTTATGAACAGTTTGCCAGTATGATTTATCAAAGAGTCAGCAATTGATACATAGTTCAATAAGTTATAATGATTTGCTGTGGGAAGTCATTCACTTTTATTACCTGAATATGTCCCCTTAGATTGCAAAGGGATAATGCCAGCTTGCTATAAAGGGATATTTTTTGATTTAGAAAAACAAAATGTATGAGAAATTTATGAACATTAAAGCAAATACTTTATTCATTTTTTTTCTGCTTGCAAATCTAAATTGAAAAAACAGAAGCGCTGAATTACACATTTTCTTCTGCTTCTCTTTCATGGCAAAGCAAAGCAGGGGTGTGAAGTCTATCTACTTGGTTTTGAAAATATTTTTTTTTCAGCTATTTTATGGTTTCACAGAGACTGATGCTTTTTCAAGTAATAGTTCTGTTTTTCTGGCATCTTTTATATCTCTGCTGGAATAGGGATTTTCCTTTTTGTCAGATTTTTGTTTTCTAATTTTCTACACATTACCTATGTAAGTTTTGCGTCTCTATGGTTTCTGGGGTGTAACATAGTCTGTTTCAGACTTGTCTTGAGTTTCCAGAGCAATAAACTGAATTTCCTTGTTTGAAAGTTTTATATCGGCAGGAATTAAGCACAGCGTTGGCTCCAATGTGTTTTATAAACCCTTTGCTCCAAATCACAGTTATAACCTACGACACCTTTTTTTCCCTGTAGTTAGTATTATTGCCAGTTAATAAAGCCACAATTTCATAGTTATAAATGTTACCCTTATAAGTAAACACAAGCATATAGAAGATATATTATTTATATATTTTGCTCATTAGATTGTAATATGTGGTCTTAGATACAGAGAGAGGGTTGCTTATGGAAGTCTTTATACAAAACGAATAGACATTCCAGGAACAAGTAAGGATGCTATTAATTCACCTGGCAAAATCTGCTCCTGGCAGCAGTCTTCAATTGCACTTATTTATGCTGTTCTTTCCATGTAAGAAAGAAGAAACTGAGAATCAGTTACTCCAAACCTACTATCATCCCAGATTACCAAAAGCCTGTAATAATCTGTAAACTACATGGAATTATTGCTTTTCAACATTTGTATCAGGTACATTTTTTTTTATATAGGAGTGAAACACAAGGTAAGCTTTGGTGAAATGCATTTGTCATGGGGAAGGCTGAGCCACCAAAGAGAGAAGGGAGAGCCAAAGCCGAATTCCATTGTGGCCACTGTAGTGGAGGAGGTGATTCCTAGTATATCAGATGCTTGTGTATCTACAAAAGGAAAACAGCCTTTATTCTAACAAAAAGGAAAGCTGAACTGTCTATGAAAGGAGTTCAAGCTGAAAAAGTAAGCCCATTTAGATCATCTGGAGAAACTGAAATAAAATAATAGTTGTAAAATCTAACATAATCTGCTGCAAGAAGAGAAAAAGCATGTGCCTTTTTCTGGAGAAACAAGAAGTGAACTGAATGAGCAAAAAATCATCTTCAGTTATAACCTTACTGTACATGGATAAGATGTGGTTCTTCTTTAATTTCTTTGCTTGTGTGTCTTATGAACATCTGTAACTAGTTGGATGTTACAGATACATGCTTGTATTTGTGTTTATCTTAACCTGGTTTGATGTAAGCATTATTCAAACTAATTATATAATGATAAAGTCTTTTTTCCCCCAAGGGTATAATTAAACTGTCTCAGGGTATGGGAACACCATAACAGCATCCAAGTTTTCCAGTGCATTCTCTTCAAATTGGTCCTGATCTGAGTTACAAAGTCCAGGTGAAGAGTTACCATCACAGCCTGAGGGGTACAGAGGAGTTCCAAGTGACTATTGGTGACACTCAGAGTTCTCTGACATGTAAATTGGAGCACAGATTTGAATCTGGATACACAAAGAGTGTCATAGCCATAAATGAAGCAATATTGTAAAGTTTATCCTGCAGTCAAATCTGTATTCACTTTAGAAATGCCTAAAAGGTATTTATGACACTAATACAGATAACATGACAGCTATATGATTACTAACATTTACTTTCATTGCATTGCTGTATTTTTTAAAGTTCATAGAAAACATATTTTTAATAAATCTTAATTTTTTGTCTGGTGAAATACAATTCAGTGTTCTCACACAAATCCCCAAAATCTAGGCACTTAGTGTTGGGAAATCAAATCAGAAGATTTGTTTTGGTTTTGCTTTTTGACACTATTCAGTAACATACATTTTTCTATATACAAACGTCTTTTTATCAAAGCAATTGTCTGGTTTTATGTACTGGATTTCAGCTTCTTTGTTCTTCATGTCATCATGTGTCCTTTTTAGTTCAGACATAATGTGGGTTTTTCTACATGCATTCTTACCTCTGCTGTCCAGCTGACCTTCACTTCAGCATTCCCTGCTATGTAACATAGCTGATTTCTGTGATTTTGATACCTATTCTGCCAGTGCTATATTGAAGGGCCTCCTTATTCTTGAAGTTGTCCAGCAAGCTGAACAAATTGCTTCCCTATCAGGTACTTCAAGCATCAATAGCAGAAGTATGCATGGTTCAATAAAAGTCCTTGTACCAAATCACTATGGAAACATCTCAGCTGATTATTTAATATTTTTCTGTATTTTAAATTTAGGAAACCTCAGAAATTCATGCAAGCGTATTTAGGGACAGATTTTATTAGTTCCATTTCATGACTAGTTCATTGATTCCACTGGTTTACTTAACCAAGTATAATTCTTTCTGACATCAGTACACTTCAGACTGTCTGGCTCTATCTTCGGATTTAGAGTTCAAGAAAAGACCAGTTCATTTGTCTCTTCCTCTGCTACAAAACAAGGAAAATTCCTTTTCAGCAGCAGCTCTAGAATGAGGTCACAGCTAAAATAACATATTTACTTTTAATTTTCAAGTAGATTTTTATTACTTTTATATTTATTTTTACTTCATTTTACAAACTGTTCCCTGTATGATGGGGTAGGTGAGACCCATTTCTAAACAGCTGGTAGCAAGTCATACAGATGCAAGATTTTCTGTAATGATGTAAAAATTGGTTCTGATAGCAAAGATTTCACATGTTTGGGTACTTCAGATGAAAGCTGAATTTAATATTTTCCTGTAAATACCAACAGGTGGCCCAGGAAGTGGTAAAGGAACACAGAGTTTGAAAATAGCAGAACGTTATGGATTTAACTACATATCAGTTGGTGAATTGTTAAGGAAGAAGATCCACAGCACAAGCAGCAATAGAAAATGGAGTCTAATTGCCAAAATAATTACTACTGGAGAACTGGCCCCTCAGGTACAGCACATCATGTATTAATATTAGCTTTGAAGGAATTGTACATGCTGTATTACTGTGCACCATCAAGTGCACAATTGCACATTGCAATATTAAATAAATAACTTACTTTCTCTGTGAAAGGAAACAACCATAACTGAGATAAAGCAGAGATTAATGCAGATCCCTGATGAAGAGGGTATAGTGATTGACGGATTTCCCAGGGATGTTGCCCAGGCAATCTCCTTTGAGGACCAAGTAAGAGCTTGTTTTTATTCTTAAAATAACTTACATATTTCTACAATAGTTAAGCTTCTTGAAATCATTAGTAAGATTCCAAGAAAGACTAGATGTTATTTCTAACTGAGCATTGCTTTTTAAATCTTTGCCACTACATAATTACAGGTTGACAAAAGGTTATTCTTTTGCTTTACATTACATTATGTTCTGTCTAAAGACAGAATATACTGTAAAAAGACAATGTAATAACATAACCAATAATCCAAGCCTCTTATCTCAGAAATGAAAAACCTCTCAAGATGAAGAAGAAAATAACATCAAATCTAACAATTAATATATTTTATATCTTAGTGATTTATAAATGGGGAAGACACTATATTCCATATCTATTAGTTCAATTTCATACTTAAATCAGTGGGTATCTTCACAGCACTTTTAATCTCAAGTTTATTACAGTGCATTGAAAAAACTCAAACAAAATAAGGGTTAAAACTGCCCATGTTGTGCAAGTTTTTGTAAACCAAAAATGATGCTCTTTTTTTAGAAATTTAGATCATCCTTCTTATTCTAAACTACAATTCTAAGGTTTACTCAGCTAAAACTGTGTTACCACGTTCTATTCACATGTTGTTTTCATGTGTGTATTTTAATCTAAAAATACTTTATTCAATGGAAAAACAAACAGCTTAGGTCATTTTCTGATCAAGCACTATTAATGTAACAGTTCGGGTCACAAGTAAAGGTTGCAGTTTCAGAGCTGAATAAAATTTTTAGAGTGCCCTTCATGTAGAGCATTTCAGAGTCCTTCACAATTGCTGGTATACTGCCATTTCTGTACTTTGAATTCTAAGTGGCATTGCCAAGGCAGAAGTAACAAAAGAAAGCAGCTAATGAGGCATTTCATTAGTGTGCTTTTATAAGGTATTATTCTGGGAAAAATTTAGAAGACTGAATTGAGGAAATGAAAGGCAACAGATAAAATAGTTATTACAGAAAATAACCAGTGACTGCCAGCTATATCTCCTTATAATTAGCAGAAGATAAGATTATTTTGTAAATGAAACAGCACAAATTTAGGCTTAATGTTAATTTCCTTGCCTCATTTTTTTGTCCCATGTATTGTGTGATAGTGTGACTTAAATGCATTTCTTGATGCGAAAATTCTGTGCTAATGTTGTGTTTGATGAAAGAATGGGGGATGTGAAACTGAAGAACGGACAGGAATTAAGTGCTTTGAGTTATCTTAGGTTGAAATTCTCCTACAAAGCAGTATCTGTTAAACAATACTTGAGTATCCATCATAGAATGCATTAGTAATACCACCAAGAAGTGGAGTACAGTAGGTAATAGAAAAAGTCCAGGCAATACTGTGCTGTAGAAGGGTAGACAGAAGGACACTATGTTTCATATATGTTTGAACCCTCCCTTTGCACCATTCTTATATGCTTGCTAATATTCTTCAGAGAAAATGTAGGATGGATTTAGTAATTTTAAACCTGACTATATTCTTAGAGATTCATTGTTTTCAGTCCAATGGGATTTGCTAAATCACACTCCTCAAGGCCTGATTCTGCCTGAAAGGTGGATGACTATCTGAGTTTTAAAAAAATCTAGGAGCACTTCATATTGGGCCGACTTTCAATCCTATCTGTCCTAGAATAATATGGGAAAGGGAAGAAGGAATCAGAATTTTTATAGGAGCATAGGAAGCAAAATTTGGTCTGTTTAAACTCCCCCCTGACCTCTTACATGAGCTTATCTAAGGCCATAGAAATAAATGTACAAAGGATGCACATAGAATAATTTTGGTTGAAAAAGACCTTTAAGATCAAGTCCAACCATTAACATAACGTAAACATGCTTCAGCATACAACATCTTTTTAATTCAGTGGGATATGTTCAGTATTTTATCTCGGTTTTAGATTTTACAGAAATAAAATATGCTTGTTGTTTCCTTACATTTTTCAGTTTAGTAAACCATAATGCTACACATGTAGGTAGGAAGGTCTTGTGCTAAGGAAAGGGGACTATCAGCAGATGTGGCACCCATCTTCCTTTACAGGATGAGGCTGACAGTAATCTATAGCATGTCAGGTGATTTACATTATATATAGTAACATTTTTAAGGCACTCAGAGATCCCTCAATGAGAAGTGCAATTGAGTTGTGGAGAATTCAGTAATCAACTGTTGTGATAATTAGTGTAGGTATGCAATTAAAGATGCTATGGGGATTTTCCACAGCTTGGAAATGTTATAGCTTTCTTGCTAGCTGTGGGTAGGAGAACAGAACAGAATTGTTCTCATGAGCCAAAAGTTTCAAGAGGATAATTAGTTGAAATTTCAGCAAATAAAGTTTTGACTAAATGGTAAGACACTTTATAGTTAGAAGATCTATTAAGCAATGGAACATCCTTCTAAAGAAAATTGTGAAACCCCACAAAATGCACATAGGCAGATGACATTATTCTGTAATACATACACGTTATTCTTACAATGACATCCCCTGTAGAACTGATATCTATGAATAAAAAGTTCTGAATAAGAACTAATGTTTATTGTTAGCATTAATTTTGTCATGGGTAAATACTTATTCTTACATATGATCCCTTTAAGACCATTACATGTTTATGTACCTGAAAACAGCAGCAAAGGTTGTGTGACAGAAGCCATTTCAGAGGTCACATTTAGGAGAACTGCCAAAAGAGGCCTTCTGCAGGAATTACTATTTATTTGTTTTCCCTCATTCATGATCCCTTCTCAGCTGTTGATTGCAAGGGTTCTAAAATGCAATTGTGTACTTTTCAACAGTGACTTTACACTACTATTATTTGTTCCATATAGCAGCTAGCCTCTGTGAGGCATGATGCAGTGGGGTCAAGAAAGTACCTGGACCAAGTAAGAGTCCAGGAAGTCAAAACTTGGACCAGATTTGAGCTGCCCACAGTGGTCAGTGAAAGGTGGATCAGGAGAGAACTTCTAGTTTTGGGTCTGAGCCACTTCATATCCCCTTTCTCCACTAGTGCATGTTGTGGACAGTAGATGATGAACAACTGAAAGGCAAGATATAAAGGGTATAAAACCTGTCTTGTTCCCAAACACTCACACTCTAGTTCACTGGAGAGTGTTTATGGAACCTCTTTGTATATATCATTACATGGCTTTTACCAGTAAGAACTGTGCTGAGTAATCATAAACTAGTTTATACTGGAAATGGTTCACCATATTAGTAAAGGAAAAATAATCTAAGGTGCCAGGTTTCTCCTACAAGTACATGTAAAATCTAGCTGTGCTGTGTTTGCAGACATCTTTAATGTAACAAATTATTTATGCTAAAATAATCCCTTCAGTTTTATAGTTCACATAGTGTCAAGTCTCAGAAACAGCTAAGTTTTCATAATTACTCATTTTGTGAAAAAATCAAATAGATACATATATGTCTGAACTACAGTTACACACCTATCCTGCATAATATTTTAGTATAGAAACACACAGTGGTAATGAGTTAGAATCATAGAATGGTTTGGTTTTGAAGAGACCTGAAAGATCTTCTAGTTCCAATCTCCTGCAGGGGCAGGGACACCTCCCGCTAGATCAGGTTGCTCCAAGCCCCATCCAACCTGGCCTTGAACACTTCCAGGGAGGGGGCATCCACAACTTCCCTGGGCAACCTGGGCCAGGGTCTCACCACCCTCACAGGAAAGAGGTTTTTTCCTACTATATAATCTAAATCTACCCTATTTCAGGTAGAAACCATTCCCCTTGTCCTATCACTCCATGGCCTTGTAAGAAGTCCCTCTCCAGCTTTCCTGTAGCCCCCTTTCTCCTGCCCCCCCAATTCTTGTTGAACTTCGCTTGTATTGCACTTGCTGCTACTACCAGCACATTTTTATTCCTTTGAGTAATCCAGAAAGTGAACTTTTCTCTGGGAAAAAATGTTATTTTTAGTAAACAAGTCAAAGTAAACTAACTTATGCTAACATTACCAAACACTGGTACAGCTAAAAGATTACAATTTTGTGCTTATCATGTTGCCAGACTCTCATGCGGACAGCGAGTTCTCAGCACGTTGCTAGGCAGAATTGTGCTAAAACACACTGCATCTCAGTGACTAAACTGCCTAAGATAAAGCAATGTGTCATTTGCAGCACTCAGAGTATTTCTCTTTCTGCTCAGATCTATAAACCAGAAGTAACAAGCATTGCTTCCAAGAAATAATGTCAATCTGGAATAAGTGGATTAAATAACACTTTACACATTTAAGGAAGTTTGTGTATGAATGAAAGCTTTTTTCCTTCTCTTTTATTGATTTTTGTTAACTGTTCCTATCATCCATATAATTTGAACAGGAAAGAAGTCTTTAAGATGGCAACAGTGAGGTTTTCAGGTTTTCAGCCATGCTTGCCAAACAGCAGCAACTCTGGTCACTTATTTACACCAGCTTCGTTTCTTAACAGTCAGCTACTCATTGCAGACTCATGGCAGCCTGTGAGAACTCACAGCCATGAACACTGCAGTTTTCTTTGACTTTCTTTCAGTTTTCTCTGAACTCATCTGAGTTGAAATAAAGCCTCTATTTTTCTCTGTGAGGATGGAATACATCACAGAATCACAGAATGCTACGGGTTGGAAGGGACCTCGAAAGATCACCTAGTCCAACCCCCCTGCCAGAGCAGGATCACCCAGAGCACATCACACAGGAACGTGTCCAGGCGGGTTTTGAATGTCTCCAGTGAAGGAGACTCCACAACCTCTCTGGGCATCCTGTTCCAATGCTCTGTCACTCTCACAGTGAAAAAGGTTTTCCGTATGTTTATGTGGAACCTCTTATGCTCCAGCTTGCACGCATTGCCCCTTGTCCTGTCATTGGACATCACCTATAACTTCTCTCATAATGTTGGACTGTTGCCAAATCCTGACTCTCCCAGTTCTTAATTCCAGAAAGCAGCAGTGGTACTGCCAACAGTTTTGATAGAGGTATGTTTAATACAGCTTGAATCATGTAACTGAGAGAATCTCAGCTCTCACTTTAAAACAACATTTTGAGCAGTCGTGGTCGTGGAGAAAAAATGAAAACATGAATTTTGATGTCTTAAAAGCAAATAGAACTTCCTGTTTATGTATTTGTTTTAAATATATGATATTTTCTATATTTTTATAAATTTGAAATCCTTCTGTGTAGTACTGCAGATTTAATACTGATTCATTTAGCCTTTCAGTTTAAGCCTAGGCTGTCCTAAACCTCTTAATTTCTAAGACATCTATGATCTCTGCTGAGTGCAAATAGTAGAAATGTTTAGATTCCAAGCACACACTGAAAAATGCCAAGGAGAAAGTGGTTTATTTACCATTAACGTGTCAACTTGAAATTCAGCAATTCACCTACAGTACCAGCATGCTCAAGCATGCTAAGTATCTTTCTCCCCAGTAATACTATAATGAAACGCCTCTGACTGGTGTATTGAACTCAAATGACTTGTGAAGAAGAAACTGCAACTTGACTTTCTATATAATCTCTCGCATGGAAATAAGTTTTTACCCTTCCCAGGAGAAAAAATTTCTCACTTCAGTATTTTCCAGTTAATGTCAATTACTGCTTTGGTTTGGGGCTTCTTTTCCCTCACTTTCAGTCACTCATGCATAACTTTCCTTCTGGTTCCAATGATTCCTTCACCAACATTAACCCTGTTAGTTTCAACAGAGTGAGTGCAGATGAAGTTTGCTTAAAATATATTAATTTGCGTTTTGTTAATAATGAAATTAAATGTGCAATAGCTGTTAGAATTAATGAATGCTCACTAATAAATGTAATTTAATTCATTGACAAAAGAAAAAGACTATTTTTGTAGAAATTATTTTTAATTTTTTTATATTATCTAGGTGACAAGATTATATTTGAAGAATTAAAAACTTAATTTAAATAAAAACAGAGGCAGTATATTTCATCTGATTCTTTGTTTAAAATGTTCTTAAGAATATTTATAAATGCAGTATACCTACAAAAAATAACTAGTTAATCTTGGCTGTGATTCAAGTTTACTTCTAAACTCCTAAATAAATTCTGTAAGAAAATCATGAGAAGCAATTGTGCTGAAGTAGAACTATACAGATGGCACAATGTACAATGCTGGGAAAAACTGACTTGTCCTCTCACAGCCTCACAGGCTAAGGGCAGCAGGCCTATTCCTCCAAGTCTAATGATGCCTCTAGCCCCCTCAAAGCTTGACATAGGTGTGTGTGGCCAGCTGACCTATCATGGTCCAGCTGCCAAGCTCATCCTCTGCAAAGAGCTTCTCATGGAAAACCTGCTTTGTCACTCACCAAGACTGTGAGCTCCAGAGCAACTAGTAAAATTAATGCAACACTTCTGTGAATCTTTGTAAGAGGAAAGAATGTGTTCTTTGCAATAGGTTTTTGTTCTGGTAAAGGTATTTTGTTTGCATCATGGTCTACATGTTTTCTTCATTTTATTGCCTCCTCAACTTCTATCTCTCTTCTCCCAAATCTCCACTTCACTGTTCCAGGCTGATAAGCCTTAGGTACAGTTCCCCTGCTGGAGATGTGTACCCAGTCATCTGCATGAGGAGTGGGAGGGCTAGCACATCACCACTCTGCATTGCTGTGGTTCCTCTCATTCGTTCTCTTTGGCCCTGTGAGTTTTACGCTGCTTTCTTAAAGCCAAGCCTGAGAAGGAAGCTCGTGCACTCTCCTGGGAAGGGCAAGCAGTGGCTCAATTTTCTGTGGGGTAACAGACCCTAGACCTCAGGTTTCCTGTTTTTCTGGACTAAAGGCTCTTCTCTGCTAGCCAAACTAGACAAAGGAGAGCTCATCCAGTGCTGGTCCTTAGCTCACAGGAGAAGACCTGATATTCTGAATTCAGATTTGATGGAATTGCATGCTGAGCAGTTCTGCATCAGAGACAGGGATTCCTATTGACAGGCTTAAAGAAAATCTGAATCATTTCTCCCTGAAGACACCTGCTTCTCTCAGTCAATTATTAGGGAGCCTAATTATGTATTCTGGGCAGTTTGCTGGAAGGCTGCTTCTTGGACAGTGTGAATGTGGTTCAAAAGCAGTTACCAGAAAAAAAATCTGTCAGCAGGATTCATTCTTTGACAACATGATTCATCATTTTGCTTTTCTAAAACAAAAAAACCTATGCAAACAGTCTAGTAAGCCAGCAGAGATGGAACTACAGAAAACAAATAAGTAGTTACAAACGGGAGCATCCATAGAATGGACATAAACTAGCTTGATAGTGACCTTTACCAATTAGAATAAAATGCACTGTTAAATTAATGACACTTGTTCAGTTAAGTTTTCTCAGGGGTATCTAGTAGAACATACCAGGAATTAAGAAACAGAATTTTTGTATTTTGCCTAATGAGGAATAATGAAAGACACTGTAATCATCTCAATTCCTAGCAAACAACCACACTACTCTCACTAAGAAGAGGAGATGTAGGAAATATCCCCAGAGAATAGAGAACATCTTTCCACTTATACTGCTTTGCATCAGTAACACCATCAACTTGCATGGAATTACTCTCAGTTTACTTCTTGTTCCAGTTTAGGAAGGAGATTCAGACCCAAAGAGAGTAGGATTTACTTACTAGTAAATACTATTCTAAAAAATGAGATGAGGTACCCACCAGTTTTATTCTGAGTTGATGCCATATGCTCTTTGTCTCATTTAAAATTCAGAAGGTTGTGAATAACAAGAAACCCGTCTGTTCCCATAGGCAAAGATTCTCCCTTCTGCTTAGTTCCAGTTAGTAAGTAATCAAATTAACTTCCCTAAGCTCCACAATCCATTCTCATATGTATTTCTGGACATGAATAAGACCCTCAGCCTTCAGCACAAGATGAGCATTATGGGAAATCATCATGAAGGAATCCAGTTCTTCTGTCTATGCTGGTTCTGTACAGCTTTTCTACAAGCTGAGTCTCAGAATAAAACTTATTCCCTAGTCATAAACCTCAACAACAGTTAGTTCTGAGTTTAAAAAATAGCTTTGTTTTGAAATGAGTCATAAAAAACATTTTTTCCTTTGTTAGAAAAAAAAACAATTTGTGCTCATATATATGTAGGAGAACTAGATGTTTCCAGAGAAACAATCCCAGATGCCCATATGTTCACACTAGCCTGTTACATTCCAATTTAAAGTATTTATAAGCAAGGCTTTAAGGCAGATGCAGTTGAGGTAAGTGGAAGCAGTGTGGTTCATGAAAACAGGAATAAAAAATTAATAACATTTCAAGGGTTTGCTCTGAAAGATGTAAATGCATGTAGGAGAAATATATTAAGTGCTGTTAGGTCTGTACACCTGTGGAAATACAAGCGATCTCATCCTTTTGCAGATCTAAAATAAAGCAGAGGCTTGTGTTTATTAAATGGTTTTCAGCTACTTTCTGATTATAAAGATGAACATTCTGCAGATAAAAGATGAATTCATAGAGGCATCACAATCAGAATCTACTCTGTATTCCTACCTCAAATATTTTAATTTTTTTTTCCACTTCAAAAAACCTTTTAGACAATAATTCATTTGAAAGTAGGCTTCTTGAACTGAGAATTTTAAGCCGCTGTTTTCATTGCCATTTTATTTCTGTGAGTGAACTGTATTTCTAATTACAAATGCCAAAGTGTCAGAAAGAATAGTTTTAGTTTCTGGGATTCCAATAATGTCTTTTGTATTGTTGCTGTTACTAGTCAGAAAATTAAGAACACCACCACTCAGCTCCTGTAGAGAATTTTTCATTTTAAAAAGCAATAGAAAATAATTAAAAAATAATTTTCCACATAAATTACTGTGTTGTACCTTGTTATTATCCTCATTTTATAACTAAAAAAAAAAATAAAAAAAAAAAATTAGGCCCAGGGCATGCTTTCCCATTTTCTTAAAAAGGAGCTGACCTCAGAAGCCAGTGCAGTTTGTGGAAACTAAACAGATGGGAACCTTCCTACCTGATGGCATCATGATCGCTTTCAGATCCTTCCCTTGCTTTGGGGCTGCACCTACTCAGGCAGTTTCTTTAAAGAGCTGAGACTGAGTGTGGAAAGCTGCACTCTCATCATTTGTGTGATGAACTCTCATCATTTGTGTGAAGCAGGAGGAGACCTTCCCTTTGTCTTCTTCCTCTTTTTCCTTTAGGGCAAATAATTTAATGAGACATCTATTTATTGTAAGTACTCTCTGGAGGGTTTGTTGCTGTATGTGAAGTTACGTTATAAGCAAAAGCTTAGCTTCTACACTTGAGGAAGTCTGGTGTGACTCACAGATCTGAGTAAGTGGCAAATTATAGCCCTGAGGATGTTTGGGAGTGAGCATTGAAAGTGAGAAGGCTAGCTACAGCTTGGAGCATCTGAAGATTTTTAAATAACACCTTACTTTAAGGCTTTTTAGATAGAAACCCTACAACTGTTTTTCCTGCAGAACACAAGCAAGACATGTATATATTGCTTTTTAAAAAGATTTTAATTTTAGCTAAGGGAACCTTCAGGTAATGCAAACAATGAACATAGTCTAGAGAAGATTTCTGGGGTGAGGTACAAATTTTTCATAAATGTTTTCCTCTAACATTTCAGGTGAAATAAATTTACTAACATTCACATAAGACAAAGCCCATCCTTAAGACTATGAATTTCCCTTAAAAAACATCACAGAAAATTAATTATTTGGCCAAGTTCCCACTCACATAAAACCTCACCTAAGAGTGGAATTGCTGAGCCCCATAGTGCTATATAGTCAGCTTAATCACAGACTTCTTGAATTGCTCTTTCCACAGATCTGCACCCCAGATTTGGTTGTGTTTCTGGCATGTTCCAGTCAAAGGCTGAAAGAAAGGTTACTGAAGCGTGCTGAACAGCAAGGGAGACCTGATGATAACCTGAAAGCCACTCAAAGAAGACTAATGAACTTCAAGCAGAATGCTGTCCCACTGGTTAAATATTTCCAGGAAAAAGGGCTGATCATCACAGTAAGTCCTCTAGCATATACCTCTGAAAAGTGAATTGTTGTGGTTATGCTTGGCTTCTTAGACCTTTTGCTTAAAGGTAGGCTAGATTATATTTTAAGTATACTCCATGGTTACTGAAAGCAAACTTTCAGTTTGGTGGGGAAGTATTTTCTGCAGAATGCACTAACACAGAGCAAAATTCATGTGCATGTAGATGACATGGTAAGCACCATGTCAATTCTTTGCTGACATGTTCTAACTGATGAACTGGGTCTTATTGTAATAGCACACAGAACTTGGTACCACAGATGGTACCAGGAAAGCATGGATGGCTTGTTTTGGGCTTTTTTGATAGCCTAAATAATCTGGGTAGTTCACATGGTTCTCCTTATGGCAAGTATGACTGAATCTATGTGCTGCTCAAATTCATGAAGGCCAAAGCAAAGTCATTTAGTCATGTTGGTAGCCTTAATAACGCACTTCAACATTTTCCTGAATTTCAAAGTTAAAATATCAGGAAATTGTTACATTGTTTTCTACAGACTGTATTTTCTGTTTGAGGATTTATATCTTCAGATAATCTGTATTTCAGAAACTAGTTGCTTGTATCAAACCAAAACTAATTGTAGGAAGATGATAGGATCAAGGAGAAGTTGGGTGGAAAAGGCAATTCAATTTCAAGTCTCCACTCTGCCTTGTTCAGATGGATTTTAAATCTCTGCTATCACCCCAGTGATATCCATCACCCACTTATAGGTTATTTTGAAGAGAGTCTCTAAATCTCCACTTTATCTGGACTCTAATCTGGTATAGAAATTGGTATAGAAATTGGAGACAAGATAAGTGGGTTACAAAAATTTTACATTCACAGTTATTAAAGCTGTTCTCAGAGAACTCAGCTGTTCTTTGTAGAACATATCTGTTGGTCTAGACACAATACATAAATAAATTACAGAGCCCACTGTCATGGCAGTGGAAGCTTCTCTTACTGGAGACAATATTAGGCCCAGTCTGCCTTATTTATAATAATTCTCTGCAAGGATAGTGTTTCAGTCTCGTCCTTGTTATGTTAATAAGTCTGTATTTAAAAAAAAAAAAAAAAAAAAAAGACAAAAAAAATAAATACTGGCTTTAGTAAGACAAAATATTAAATATAGAAAGAAGGCTCTGGACCTTATTTAAAGAGCCAGAACAGGACAGTATACTGTGACATAAAATGGTGATGTCACTAATAACTTTATTATCTCAATTGTCCTTTGAAGGAATTTACCATGACATTCAGAATACTCAAGAGAACCCAGAAAAAGCTACTGAAGCTGGAAATGGATTTTGAGCAAAATTTAGAATTGAAATACTTGCAGGTGAAGGAAATAGCATATATAGCTGTCTGCTCTAATTAGCGTCAAACAAGCCTAGTGTTTGTCAACTGTCATGGAAAAATTGTCTACGGAACTGTGTTACATACTTTTTTTTCTTGATTTGGTTAAAAACAGGATTTTGCTATTGCACTGCACACTGACATAAGCTTCAGCTACAGGCTCTGACTCACCAATGCACTGACAAAAATATGAGTTGTAATCAATTTCTAAAGTTTTTGTGCTATCAAATAGCTGTTCAACTTGAAGTTTAAGTTTGGGCTTTTTATTTATTTACTTACATAACTGTGAATGCTGATTGCAAACAACTTTCAATTACTCGTTCCTTCTTTAATTCTGGGGCCCTCACCAGGGAAATAAGGGTCGTGCAGGCCTTTCAGCAACTCTCAAGGTCAATCCAGATATTATCAATAGCAAACTGGTACCCAAAGGCATGATCTGAACATCACCCTGCTTTCAGGTCCTGATGGCAGCCACTGCCAGACACCTCTCCCAAACCGGGATCCAGCTCAAAAATCTTCTCAGAGAAAGAACACGCATCTGATTTGGTGGAGCACAGAATGACTAGCTGTTCTTGTTTTTATGGTGGTGATACTTATTTTCATCCATACAGTTTTGCATTAAACAATCCTTAAAAAGAAAATACAAAAAAAAAAATCCCACCCCCCCTTCCCTGAAGTAATGCTAGGAATAGAGACTGTGAGCCACCACCTCCTCCACTTGCTTTTGCTTCTCTGCTGCAGGCTCAGGATCTCATTTACATGCCACCTGATGCCTTTGATTTTGCATTTTTGTACTGTAAAGCAATACAAACTTGGCAGGAATGGTTTCACTTGAATCTAACCTTGTCTGTATCTGAGCATAAACGTTCTCCCCACAAGTCACAGATGTGGGTTTGAATGTGCTTTGCTTTGTAGAGGGCACTGAACTGAGCTTTCCCATTGATTGGCCCAGCGCCACCAATATATTTTCAAATGCCTCTCAGTTGTTTCAAAAATACAGCAGCCATGAGTACAATTTGTAGGAACATGTTAGATGTGCTTTTAATGTGACTACTACACTGGCTCTTCAGGGTTCTTCTGGTTTCTTGGGTATGACCAAGTAGGGGTGCAAAGAGGAACCCAGATAGCTTTGAATGTCAGCTAGAGCAAAACTTCAATGTTTTAGGAATTTTGTAAGTCAAACAAGGAGTGTAGGCAGCTCTTTGTGGGAAACTCAACAGGAGAGGTTTTGTTTGAGATTCAGGAATCTTCCTGTGTTCTGCTGCACGGTTCCTAAATCTTTAGCTGGCTCCATGAATGTATGTGCTTATATAATCACACAAAAAATTATATGCAGGAAAAGTGAGATGTGGGATGGGAAAGAATTGCTCTCATTTTTATTTTTTTTTGATGGTTCAAAGCAATGAAAGGTAAGTTGAAGCCTAGAACAGGTAACCAGATACCTGCAGACACAGGAACTCCGATAGCTGTCACTGCAAATTAAGGGTCTCTATGCCTCTCCTGTGTTTTATAGCTCTTTTGCAGAAACATTGGGATATGAGAAAGAGCCAGGAAATCTTTCCTGTAGAACTGCTGAATTAGAGGAAGTTTGTGTGTGGTCTCATCACTGCTAGGTTTTACACTGTCTCAACACTGTATGTAACTGAAGTGTGAGATATTTTGAAGAAGGTACCAAAAAAAGTTATTTAAATGAAGTTTATTTAGAAATGTGTCTAAACAAACTGTTTCTAAATATATGCACATTTTATATGTGAAGGATAGATGAGTAATTTGTGCATATGTGGAAGCATGTGCACCACACACACTTTCCAAGCTTCCAAGTATTTTCAGCCTCGATTTTATAATTTATGGCAACAAGTATATCAGAAATACTGTGTCTACCAGAGAATGACCAAGCTTGGAAACTTGCCCTCTGTGTATACATGCAAGCATGCAGAGAAACCTTCAGGGTGGAAATTCTTTACTGGGGTAAGTAGCATTGCTCCAACACTATATTCTTTTTTAACTTCAGAAGCACCACGATTTAAATAAATAGCAGCTTTTTGAAATCTGCCCTGCCCTCTGTACCCGAAGGAGTTTGAATGAAGTAATAGACTTTGAAAAAGAAACAAACTTTGACAAGTCTGGCTATAGAATTAGCCACTGATGAATGCATGGGCAAAGGTGATTTAGGAACTCCAGAAAGAGAGAGGGAATGCTGTTTCCAACAGTTGTATTATCCCAGATTTATCCATTTCTGGCACTGTAAAAACTGATAAAAGTTTAAAATTAACAGGTTTTTAACAGTTCTGAAGCTACAGCTGAGATGAGTAATTAAGACAAGTTATCATGAGGAGAAATTAACTGTGGGCAATATATAAAATAACATGCCCTACATATTCTTCAAGTTGTTTTAAATAGTTCCTATTAAGGTAATTAATCTGTGTCCTTTGGGTGAATATTAGCTTCTCATTTCCTTTTTGCAGTTAAATGAAGACTTAAAGAAGATTATTTTTTTCTTATTTAGAGGAAACTTATATTAAGAAACCAGCTTGGAAAAAATACCTTGTCTCTGGGAAGTCCTTTTGTATTGAATCAGGAGTACTTGGCAAAACTTTCCTATCCTAAACCACATCTGATTTTGTAAACATCAAGCAGAAGAATTGAAACTGTATTTCAGCCATGATTTGCTGTAAATGTGAAACTATCAACTTCTTACCAAAAGTTCCAGTACTGATTTCCAACTCTGATTTCTACTGGTAGATCTTCCCTGTGAAACATTTATAGTCAGTGACTTCCTGATTTTGTGCAAAATATTGGGCTGCCATTTGATGGAAAAATTTTGGATATCAACTCCTGCAAGTTGTTAATCCAGTAGAATCAGGATGGTCTTTTCAGCCCTCACACTCCTATTAAAATGTTACTACATCTGGTGGTTTTTGTGCCCTGCAAGTCCAGTATTTAGCATCCCTAACTCCTGAATCTAAGTTGGTATCATTAGCTATTGTTAAATATTTCTATTTCCTTATGCATGTGGCAACTGAATGTTTGTTCTGATATCAGCTGTGCTTAATGTCGATTCAAATGGGTGAAATAAGACTGAGTGGATTAGCTTCTAGTCATGCGATCTAGTACCATCCTGTAATTATTTGAGCATTTGCACCTGCTCCTCCTTTCCTGTAGATGTTCTGCATGAAAGAGAGGGAAGACATAAAACATTACACTTCCTTATTTTTAAAGCATCGTTAAGATAAATTTATGCCCCTTTTTGAATGCTCAGGTATTGTAACGATGGGAGCCATTTAAGTGTCAAAATGGAGAAGAGATGCTCAGACTGTCAGCAGAAAGCATGATGCAGTTTATCTTCTGGACCTGTTCTGGCACTTTTCTCTAGTGTTCTGGAGTCTTATTTCAGCAAGCTCAACAAGACAGGGTTAGATGTAACTACAGGGTTGGTGGAGAACTGAGAAAGCTGAAGAGCTGCTCATCCATGGCGTGACTCAGTGAACATATTGCCCTAGACAGTACTAAAATGAGAACTGTAGCCTTCCCCTACATATTGCCCTTTGAAGAACCACCTTTAGAATTTTTGTGATAGCTCTTTGGAGAAATTTTTTTTTCCTAAAGAATAAACAACTAAAGAATATCTACCAGTGTTTTGAAG